TGACCATTTAAATATGATGTTAGCTGTTAGTTTTTCATAGAGAGCCTTTGTCAAGTTAAGATAAAGACCATCTATTGCAATTTTCTGTAGGGTTTTTATCATGAATGGGTGTTGAATTTTGTTGAATGTTTTTGCTACATCTGTTGAGATGATCATATTGTTTTTGTCATTGACTCTGGTTTTTGTTTGTTTGTTTTGTTTTTTGAGACAGGGTCTCACTATGTAGTTGAGACTGACCTGGAACTCACTATATAGCCCAGGCTGGTCTCGAACTCACAGAGATCCTCCTGCCTCAGCCTCCCGAGTGCTGGGATTACAGGCATGTGCCACCATACCCAGCTTGCCTGTTGATTCTGAACTAAACGAAGCAAATGACAGAAGTTATTTTACATTGTGACATTTTGTAGGTTTTGTTTGTTTGTTTGTTTTTGCTTTTAAAGTGTTCTCTATCATGTTAGCATAGTATATTACATTTATTGATTTATGTATGTTGAACCATCCTGGCATCCCTGGGATAAATCCAACTTGTTCAGGGTGCATGATCTTCTTGATGATCCTCTGCATTCTGTTTGCCAGTATCTTACTGAGGATTTTTGCATCTGTGTTCATTAGGGAGCTTGGCCTGAAGTTCTCTTTTCTGCCTTTGTTCTTTCTGACAAGCCCCCCACCCCGGCAGACAGAAAGCCAGCAGCTCCTAACTTTTATCAGCCAGTCCCAGGCCCATCACCCACGGGACTCTAAAATGTTCCACCCTCTCCACCAGTGTCCCCTCCTGTACCTACACTCTTCTATAACAACCATGAACACCCTCATTTCAGTGTCAACAGCCTTTTTGTCCCTGGCCTGTTTGGCAATAAACTCGTAGCATGTTGCTTGAACTTTGCCTGCCTCAGTCTGACCTTATACTTTCTTTGCTAGAAATTACAGATAAGCTAAAGTTAATGATGCTCAACATACACCCATGCTATGTGCCTCACTTTCCTATCAATCAATATGAATGAGTGCCGTGGGTGTAGCTCAGTGGTGCCGTGCTTGCCTGGCAAGCACAAGATCCTGAGTTCATTCCCTGATACCGGAAAGAAAAAAAAAATCAGTATAAACTAAGTGATTATACTTGTAATCCTGTTGGTTGACTGCACTTTGACTCATGTTGTACACACGTTGTAATTTCGCTGTATAAAATATCCTCGGAGAAAAAGCTTCACAGCCACTCGCTTGGGACCCCTTTTGTCCCTCAGAATCTTTCTCTTAGCAGACTTTTTCCTCTTCCCCTACAACAGAATTCATCCCATCTCAGTAAACCTTTCCTCCTTTGTCCTCAGATTTCATTCTTTAGTATTTGAGAGACACGAACTCAGCACATCTAACATGTGACAGGTTGGGAGTTGTTTTTCCCCTCAAAATATTGTTACTCTTATTTCTGATTTCAAATCATATTTTTAGTTTTTATTCACACATAGTAGTTGCACATTTTCTAGGCTACACCTGTTATGGCTGTCTCAGTGAAAAAAAATCACTGTATAAAAATGTCCAAAATAGCTGGGTGTGGTTACGCATACCTGTAATCCCAGCACTTGGGAGGCTGAGTCAGGAGGATCTCTGTGATTTCCAGACCAACCTGGGATACATAGTGAGTTCCAGGTCAGTCTCAACTACATAGTGAGACCCTGTCTCAAGAAACAAAATAAAACAAACAAACAAACAAAATGTCCAAATTAAAGGAGTCTTTTTAATAGCTGGTGACCCAGGACGAGTGCTCACGCTCCCATCTTCCTTGGTACTGATTAAGCAGGGAAGCCCAGTTTTTAAAGGGAAAAACCACACAACAGAATGTCATGATCTTACCTTTGAGCAAGCACAGGGGTACAGAAGCAGATTGCAAGTTAAATTAAAATCTGATTTTGGTGATCTGGCAGGAAATTCCTATCCCTATGGTTAGGGCCACAGTATAACATGTCCTGTCCTTTGTTCCTAACCACTGGACAAGATGTGTCCTGTCCTTTGATCTCAGCCACAAGGTAAGCTATGTGCTGGTTAACCTATCACTTCGAACAAGCAGTCTGGGGAGGAAAGGGGGTAAAGCTCAGGTACAGGCTATTGGGAGGTTTCTGGTTAACTCGCTTACTTCACAGTGATATTGTTATAGACAGCTAAGTAAGTAGAAATATCATAGGGAGTCATACAGAGCTAGCTTCTTAGGGGAGTCAGTGCAGAGGATGAGAACACATTACGACCCTAGCTCGAGGTGCACCTGTTGGAGGCCAGGCCTCAAGATAAAGCCAGAATGACTAGGCCTACATACCTCCTCAGGGCATAAGATAACTGATATCACTAGGTCTAATAAAGTCTAGACAGACACGCGTCACCCACCAAGACCCCTTGACCCATCTCTTCCTAAAGCAGGTCTTTGTTCTTTCCTTGTACACTTACTATGAGACCTGCTTCTCCAGTGGGTTAATATTACCTAGTGGCTAGCGCAAGATGATCTTGGAATCTTATTGGTTGGTCAGAGTTTTGACCCATGTTGTGGCCACCTCGTGATTTTGTTCTATAAAATTTACATTAAGCAGTGGGTTTGTTGGCAATCTACTTTCTGGTCCCTTCCTGTCTCTCAGGAACTCTCTCTCAATAAAATTTTCCTGCTCTTTTTTTTTTTTATATTCCCCGGTGTCAGGGATTGAACTCAGGACCCTGCGCTTGCCAGGCAGGTGAGGTGGCACTGAGCTAAATCCCTGGCCCCAGTTTTCCTACTCTTAACCTTCATTTTTCCTTAGAATTCATTCTTCAGTTTTGGGGAACACAAACCACATATCTGGCATCTAGCAAGTTGGGAGTTATATTACTTCCCCTATATAAGTATCTCAGTGTATGTGCGAATGGGGAAATATTTCTGACTAGAAGGAGCCTGCGCTGCAGCTATGTGGGTAGCAAACAAACTCCTAGCTCTGACCCCTCCTGAACCTAAAGCATGTCCATCAGGGTCTCTCAGACTTGCCAGACATGGTTTCCTCCCCTGTCCTTTGTTCTCAGTAGGGTTTCTGTGACCGGGCTTCCCACCATGTGTAAATAAGACAAATCCTAGTGTTACCTTTCTATCCATTTGTATAAACGAAATCTATCTACCTCAACCAATGAACTAATGTTGAATGTTTTGCCACCACATTCTTACCCCTCTTTTCCCAAATGTATATAAACTCCGTTCACCCCCAAGACAGGGCTGATCGCTTTGTGGAGAAATTCCCAATCAGTCCGCTAGTGAAATAAACCTGCCTGCAAATTCCAAGGGTGTGTGTTCGATTCTTCTCAGCCTGACTGTTACACCACCCAGAGCTGCAACACAATGGATTATATTTGCTATATCATGTGTCCTACTTATAATGATCATCTAGGAAAATTGGCACATCTTTCAACCCACATATGCGTCATTTCTTTGTCCTGGGAGCATTCAAAATTCAGAGGTATTTTATTTTATTTTATTTATTTATATTTTTTATGGTACCAGAGATCGAACTCGGGTCCTAGCAAGGGAGGCAGGCGGTAGAACCCGTAGGCTAAATCCCCGCCCGAAAGTTGTTTTAAATATCCAGTTACTCGTCGCCAACCTGATTTCTTCCTGTGTGGTTATAAGCTATTAGGACTTTAAAGGCCACTCCTCCTGTCCAATCCACCCCTGCTCATCCTCTTTCCCTCTCTCCCGCATATTTCAGAGTTTTAACAAGAGTAAGAGACTCTGCTTGCAAGGTTTAAACTGCTCCCTGCCGCTGACTCCCCATTTCCCCTGGTCTTTAGTGAGGACAACGCTTGGAGGCCCTGGCGGCTGCCTCCCAGAACAGCACCCCTCGCTGTCTGGCCAGTTTCCCCCCAATTTCCTGGCTAAATGCTCTTGCACTACCGGCCAGACCGGCCGAGCCACCAGGGAACCACTTCGACCGAGATTTCCGTTTCACTTAGCGGTGGGACAGGAGGGAGCCAGAGCCTAGGAAGCTCAAGACTACCCAAGGGCTTTAATCGCGCCCCTCCCTGGAGTTCTGCTTTGCTCTTCGCCCGCCAATGCATGCACGGCACACGGGGCAGGAAGTGACAGAGATGCTGGGTGCGGTGTCACCTTGTCTTGCCTGGCCTGTGTTGAGTTCTTCTTTCCTGCTAGATGAAACTTTAGGGAGGAGAGTCTGACAATTTCTTTCTTTTTCTTTTCCTTTTTTGTGCTGGGGATTTTACACACAGCCTTCCCACCCATCTTCCTCTAAATTTAAAAATTTTGAGACAAGAGCCTCAACGTCTGGGAACGCTGGGATCACAGGTGTGAGCCGAAGTGCCTGTCCTCCAGTTACTACGGGCAGCCTTCCTTGAGGCAGCTTGGGGAGGCGTGGAGGAGGCCTCTTCCTGCATTTGTTCATTTTCAAGTGCACTCAGGTCAAAATAACCAATATACCAAAGGAGTATTCTGGGTGGTATATTCTGGTTTCCTTCACTGTCCTTCATTTTTCATATTTTGTTCATTGCGAGCCTTTTGGCATGAACTCTGAATCTGTACAATTTTAGCATTACTCGATTATTGTACTGAGTTTCCCCCACGTGAGCCTCTCCTCCCGCCTGCCAGGAAGCAGAAACCTTGCTCACTGTGGAAACCACAGGCCCTAAGCAGTTTCTGCCACTTAATTCCTATCTTTTTTTGTTGTTGTTTTTCCTTTGTTACCTGTACCAAGATTGAACCCAGGGCTTCGCTCAGTCTAGACCCTCCAATTGCCCGCTGGGTCCCAGGAACGTCCCGGCTAGGATTTAAAGTGCAGAGACGGACGTCCACACCGAAGAGCCCAACTTCCCACAGCTCGCCAGGTTCCCTGCAGCCTGGCTGCCCTTCCGCGTCCTGTCGCGCTCAGCAACCCCTTGGAGCGCGAACTCCAGGGAGGGTTCAAGTGCACCCGCGGGTCGAGGGAGGGTGGGGAAGGCCGGGAGGAGGTGGGCGGGACCCGACGGCTCGGTTCCGAGGAAAATGAAGGCCAGCCGAGGAGACGCGGGTTGCCTAGCTGGCGGGGCTCCCGGAGACGGGTGAGCTCGGTCTCCTCTGCGGCGGTAGCGCCTGGGGTCGTCGGTGTCTGTGAGTGTCCCTTTGCCTGCGCAGACCCCATTTCTCCCACCCAAGGCGAGACCGGGACCGTGATCCCCATAGGCCCCCGGCACCCTGCGTAGCTGGGGCGGATCTTGTACTAGTGGGCACCGGGCATTAACTTCGGGAGCTTATGGTCGCCTGCCTGCAGGTGTTCCCTGCCCACGGGTTACCGTCCTCCGGCAGGCGTCCCCCGCCCCAGGTGTTCGTCCATCCTCCAATGTCCCCGCTCGCGGGTGATTGTTTTCCCGCAGTTGTCCTCCCCAGGTGACTGTCCTTCTTCAGGTGTCCCTGCCACAGGTGACCGTCATCTCCCAGGTGTCCCCCCCTCCCCGGGTGATTGTCCTTCCTCAGGTGTCCTCTGCTCACGGGTGAGAGCCTTCCCGCAGGTGTCCCCCACCCCAGGTGTCCATCCTTTCACAGGTGTTTCCTGCCCACGGGTGACCGTCCTGGCGAGGATGTCCCCCGCCCCAGGTGACTCGTCCCTCCGCAGGTGTCTGCCTGCACTGACCGCCTACTGGCCCGTATAATGGTGGACTTGCTGATCGGACGGAGCCTAGTGACCCGCGAGGGCGCCGCGGTGGAGGCCGAGGTGGCGCTTCAGAACAAGGTGGTGGCGTTGTACTTCGCGGCGGGCCGGTGCCCACCCAGCCGCGACTTCACACCGCTGCTCTGCGACTTTTACACGGCGCTGGTGGACGAGGCGCGGCGGCCGGCGCCCTTTGAAGTGGTCTTCGTGTCGGTGGATGGCAGCGCGCAGGAGATGCTGGACTTCATGCACGAGCTGCACGGCGCCTGGCTGGCCCTGCCCTTCCACGACCCCTACAGGCAGTGAGTGCGCGCGTGGCCGGTGCCCCCCAGCCTCCAGTACTGCACGGGCTCCCTTTCGGTGGTCCCTCCTCAGCTCCTTCCCTAGCCTTCCTTGGCAGCTCCGGCTTCAGGTCGGTGACAACCTCTGTTTCACCTTTCCCCAGATCGCCTCGCACGGCCCTGGCACCGAGCATTTCTTGGGCTTGTTGGGTGTGGGTCCGGGGCCACCCGCCCTGGGGCTCGGGAATCTGCATTCCTGAGGGCCCCTGCTACCGGGCGTGCGGACACTGCCCTGCGTCTGGGAGCAGGCGGAGGTGCCCCAGAGGTCGGAGCTGTGACTAGCGCCTACAGCACAGTGGTTGTGGGGTGTGCTGGGGGAATGAGAGGAGCCAAGGATGGAGAAACAGGTGCTTCCCGTTTTCACGATCTCGTTTCTTAACCTCAGCGATTAAATTTTTTTTCATTCTTTTTTCTTGTCTTTTCTTTTCATTACTCGGGGTCAAACTCAGGACTTGTCAGGCAGGGCAATGCCGCTGAGCTACAGCCCCAGCCCCGACAGTGATGGAATTTCTTAACTGTACAGGTGTAAAATTCATTACTGTAAACCTGGAAAGACGCAGGTGGGTGGGGCTTGGCAGAGCTGCCAGAGAGGAGAGCTGAGCCTTCTGTCTCCTTAATGTGGGGACTGCACCACTGCTGCCCGGAGGCATTGTCTCAGGATGAGGTGCCATCTTCCCCGTGCTCCCTCCCTTGTGGGTCATGCTCATATCATAGCAGTCAGAGAGGATAGCAGTCTGCTCTCTGAAGGGAGCTGGTCTGGCGTGGTCCGGGCCCTTGTGATGGAGCTTCAGCTCCCTGCTGGACCTCAGTTTGTGAATGAGCTGCCAGCTGAGGTTGACGCTGCAGTCCGTGGCTGGGGATTAGCGGGTGGAATATGGCAGGGATGTTGATGGTTGGGGCTGGGGTGGGGTCTCCTGCACTGGAGTACAGAGTGAGGTTTAAATCACACTTCTCAAGGACACTGTCCGTGCCCCGTTTCCTAGAGCAGATGTGATTCTCTGGGTATTGCTTGAAGTCAGCCTCAGGCTTATTTAGTTATGGTGTTACCTCCAACATTCATTACTGTAAGATGACTTTTTTTTTCTGGAGAAGGAAAAGGAGAAGTTTAGGTTCAGAAGGGGCGCTGCTCTACCTGAGAGGTGCGTGAGGCTTCAAACCATGAAGATCAAAGTCTTATGACAATAAGTCTAAAATGGTGCTGATGAACTTTGCATAAGGGCTCATTAGAACATCACTTCAAGGGGTGCGTTTTAAAATCTGATTCAGTTCTATGGCACTCGACTTATGCTCAGCTTTTGAGAGGACAGGCTTGTTTTGAAGGTGAGATGTGCGGGTTTGGTAATTAGGCAGGGAGCTGGGCTCCTGGGAGAGCCAGCCCTGGGAGTCCCCCAGGGAGGCAGGCAGGTGTTTCATATTTCAGCACCTGGTTGTCTGGTGATTGTCCTGGGGTTGACCTGGCTGTGAAAGGGCTCGTGGCAGTGTGGGCTCATGATGGATCCACACTCTGTGGTCTTTTGCCCATTTTAAAGATGTGCCACTGAGGTGCAAAGTCCAGTTAGTTCTCCTGACACTGGGGCCATCTTGCTGTCCTGGGCCATTTCTCTGAGGGCACAGTGAGCCTCAGACTCCTGGGGCACAGGGATTTCTCAGGAAGCGCATCATTTTCAAGTCCATGCAGAATTCTTTCTCCCTGTTTGTGCTCCAGCTGGGGGCAGATGAGCCACTCCCTGCGCTGGTGCAGTCCTCTCCCGCTCCCCTTTGTCCTCTGAGGGAATTTTCTTTTTGTGAACTTAACTCTTTGTCTCCATACTGTTCTGGTCGGAACCTCATTAACTCTGTTAGTGCCATTTGTGAACTAAAAGTGGGATATTCTGTGACGCCATGGGACCTACACCCTAAACTGTGCTTGTCCCAAGCCTGATTTATGAAATCAGATCATGAGTAAAATGGAAAGGGAAACCACCAAGAAGAACAAAAAAAGGCATGAAGCATTCAGGAGGCGTTTGAGGCAGTTGTCAATGTGTGATGTACATGGTACTTTGTGGTTAGTGCCACAGAAAGGAGGACCTGGGACACTGATGTCATGAGAGTCGTCCCATGAGTAGGGAAGGGACCCCTGTACTGGCTTTCCCGAGAGCTATGAGCTTGTCACCTGCTGTCCCCTGGAGAACCACCAGAGTAGAAGGAGAGAGAGAGGAGAAAATCTGTCTCTACCAAAATCACCATGGGCACCCATGGGCTACCTCTGCAGTGGCGGGAGTCAGGTGATGGCTGTGGTGTTTCTGCAGGGAGAAGCTGCTCAGACCCCTCCACCTCAGGGTTATTGCAAGGGCTTTCTAGTGCAGTCCTTGTCCCCTGCCCTATCACAGCAGCACACACTGCCTTCACCAGAGAGGCAGCTGTTTATTACTAGTGTCCTTGAAACTAGAGGGATGGGGCTTGGCAGAGCTGCCAGAGAGGAGGGCTGAGCCTTCTGTCCCCTTCATGTGGGGACTGCACCACTGCTGCCCGGAGGCATTGTCTCAGGATGAGGTGCCATCTTCCCCGTCCTCCTTCCCTTGTGGGTCATGCGCATATCATCTGTCCAAGAAGGAAGGAACAGGTTCTGAACTCGCTAGCAGTGGTTCTTGCTATGGGATGCTGTTTGTGAGACTCTGTGGTGCTTTTATAATGACTATCTTATAACAGTGCTGGTTCCCACTCAGCCTTGACCTACAACGTCAGCAGACCAGAGAGGCCTGGAGGTGCCTCCCTCTCCTCTTTGTGCCTGCTCAGCCTCTTGCCCCTGCTTCCTAGGTTGGGGCGGGGTATGGGGGACCCTCACATTCCAGGCTGATGATTTGGCTGTGATGGTAAAGAAAACCAGCTGGAGCTTCCTGTTGTGGATAGAGAATGGCTTGGGGGAGTCATCAGCTGGGAGAAACCAGTGCCTATGTGGACAGTTCTTGGTTTTGTCTCTGCCATTTGGCTCTTTCCAGTCCTGTGTTCCAGCTGCCTCCTTGGCCTTCCATACTCAACACATCCGTGGACTCCAAGGATCCTGAATCTTTTTCTGTCTTTCTGTTCATTAACAGTCCAGTGAGATGTTGGGCTGACTGCTGAGAAGGTTCCCATAGGTGGTCTCCCAGATCCCAGTGTCCCTGTCCAGTTGGTTCTTAGTTCTAGACAGCTCTAGTCTTGCAGTGCTGTGCCCTCCCCGCCCCACCCCGTTTCCTGATTCCTGTTGTCCATACGCCATGCTAGGCATGGTTTAGTACTTGGCATCCACTAGGTGTGTGCTTAATGGGTGGTTGGAGCAAGTGGGAGAAAGAAAGCAAGTTAGAGGTATTTGCTTGGCAACAGTGTTCTGCTGGCTGAGATGGAAACAAACTGCAGCCAAGTTGCCATGGCAACCCACACCCTTTGTGTCAGGGACCGGATGTGGCTAGGTCAGGTGAAGGGAGGGACGTGAGGCAAAAGTGCCAAGGACAAGGGTGAATGAGGCTCCTGGTTGTTCCTGAAGTGGTTAAAATGCTTCCTAGTTAAGATGACAGCAGCATTTTCTCCTCCACCGCCCCAGAGGCAGGTGGCTCTCTGCCTGTCTCTCACAGTTCCAAGGCTGCCTTTATCTCCAGAAAAGGGTTCCAGGGTGAGGGTGTGAGGGCTAGCAAAGAATCTGTGAAGGTAAGTGTGCACGGCTCAGTGACCATCTCAAGTCCCTTCTTACTCCTCAAAGCCTACCTTGCCTCCCTTCCTCCTGTATCAGAATGCAGTTAGTTAGAAGTCATTAAAGTAACAGCTACAGCAATCCAAAGAGCTTGCGTGATAAAGGTTATGGGCTGGCTTTATGGAAACAACCTTTAGCCAGAATTAGTCTAAAGGAAGGCTAGAGGCCCCAAGAATGCAGTTTTGTGACTTACCTCCTGTTATGTCTGCTGTGTGCTCACTTTATAGGCAGTGGCCACCTGGCAAATCTAGTCCCTCACAGTGACAGAATGACTGCATGTCTCAGACTACACCTTCAGATCTTTTTTTTTTTTTTCCTCAGCCCACAAGCAAGTGCTCTACAGAGTCTCACTAGTCCTGGGTCTGTTAGCTCCTCATTCCTGTACTAGTCAGTGTGGGCAGGGGATACGTTGACTGAGCGGGAATTGGAGGTAGGCCTTCCCACCCATCAAGAGCAGCCAGTGTTTAAGTACTTACCATGTGGTGAGCCCAGTTTTTCCCTAAGCTGTTCACGTATTAATCCTTTAATCTTTTTTTTTTTTTTTTTTGAGACAGGGTCTCACTGTGTAGTTCAGCCTGGTCTTGAACTCACTATGTATGTAATCTAGGCTGGCATCAAACTTGCAGCTGTCTTCTTGTTTCAGAGGTGTTTGCCACCGACTTGGTCTAATTATTTAATCCTGATAACCACCCTGGTGGCGGTGGGTCCTGTTATTCCCACGGTGCAGATAAAGAAGTTGAGGCCCACAAAGGCTACGTACTTGTCTACATCACACAATCAGTTTAGGCCAACAAACAGGAGGTGTGGTTTCTGAAGAAGGTCATGGGTGCTGGGCCATAAGCCCTCTGCTCCCTATGCTGTCTAGGGCACCTCCTCAGCCTCCTTGCCACCTGCTTACTCCCTCCTCCAACTTAATGGAGGGGTGCAGATAGCCCTGGGAGGCTGCATCCAGGAGGGCAAACCTGAGCATGCATAGACCACCTGGGGCTTTTTTGTTTGTGATACTTGGGGTTGAACCCAGGGTCCTCGTATGGAGCTACATATCTAGACCTTTTTATTTTTTTAAATTTTGAACTGGATAAAGAAGATGTGGTTTTTCTATAAAATGAAATAGTACTCAGCCATAAGGAATGGGAAACTAGAGTCATTCATTGGAAAATGGATGCATATTGAGGATATACTTCTGAGTGAAATAAATAAGTCACACATGTGTAAATACCGAATAGTTTCTCTGGTGTGAAAAACTATAATAGTACATAAGATCCTAATGAATTGACATTGTGAAATAGGAAGAAAAGGGCTAAAGGTATAGGGAAAGTGGGGAGGGTAGGGGAAAGGAAATGAGGGAAAAGAAAAAAATATGAGAAAATGAAAAAATGGAAATGAAGTGTTTGTAAATGGGGAGGGGAGGAGGGGGTGAAGGGAGGGCAGGGACAAGGGGAAAAAATGAGAACCAAGATCTGTCATGTACAGGTATAAGATCCCAATGATGAATGTAACTGTACTGTATACCCAAAATGTACCAATAAACTCAATTAAAGCATTTTTTTGAGACAGGGTCTCACTAAGTTGCCTCAGCTGGGCTTGAACTTGCTATCCTCCTGCCTCAGCCTCTCATAGAGCTGGGATTACAGGTGTGTGCCACCGTGCACAGCTATTGGCAGGGCTTTTAAAGGCTGGATCTCAGCCTCCCTCTGATGGTCAGGGAGGCTGCAATTCTCATGGGTTCCATGGTCATGCCAAGGCTGCTGCCTGGGTACCTGTGTTGAGAAATGGCAAATAGTGTTTGGTCACCTAGGAACCTGTTAGGAATGCAGACGCTACCTCAGCCTCAGGTGGGCTCAGGGGCTTCCTGTCCTTCTGTGCTCTAGGAGGCTCCACAGGGCCTCCTCCTGGCCTGGGGTGGGGTGTGGTCCCAGTCACTGGGATGACAGAGCCCTACTGGGTGTGGCCCCAGGTGGCCATCCTGCTTACCTTTCCCTTGCTGAAACGCCATCCGCTCAGATGCTCAGTGACCCATTTGCCAAAACCAACCGAGCCCTGCACTTTGGCTTCATACAAAAAGCTCTTTGAGTTTTTTTCCTCTTTATTTTTTGATTTTATGTCTTTTGAGAAAAGTCAATTTCCTAAACATTTCAAGAGAAATGTGCCGGTTTCTAAGACCTAGGCTAGGACATCTCTTTCGCATGTCCATAGTGTCGCTTCCAGACCCGTGTCGGCCCCTCCTGGCTGAGCTTTCTCTGCCTGTTTGATTAGCTGTGCATCTGGAGTTTGACATGAACTTGTATCCTATTTTTGTGTGTGGCTGTTGTTTGTTAGCTCCACAAATGTAATTTTAGCACAGTGGTCTCTGTTGTGTCTTTTGTTTTATGTATGATAGTTTTTAGTTGTTTTTTTTTTTTTTTCTCTTTTGGTACCGGGGAAGGAACCTAGGGCCCCAGGCAAGTGCTCTGCACTTAGCCACACCTCCCACTCAGTTTGATGGTTTTTATGCATTATTTACACAGTTCTTTCTTCTACTTTTCATCTTTGTGTGCCTAAGTGGTTGGACACCACAGGAAATGGCTTTTAAATGTCTGAGGCTGTGTATATGGTTTCTTTGGAGAACGGGCTGTGCTGGGAGTTGTGTCCCTGGGAAAGCCACAGCCCTCCTTTTGGTGTCCCTGCACTTTGGTGAGCTCTGCCCGATTCTTGGTATCCTGGTGACTTCTCTCTGTTACTCTGTTTCATAGAGATTTGTACATACTTAGTATTTCCAAAGAATATATTTTAGTAATTTAGTATTTCCCAAGAATCACATTGTTTTGTTTTGTTTTTTTTGGTGCCCCCTGGCACCAAAACCTCAGGACCTTGTGCTTGTGAGGCAGGCTGCAGAACCACTGAGCTAAATCCCTGGCCCGACATTGGGTTTTATTGCATACCTCAAGTTGATTTTTCTTGGTTCAGTTCCGTTTTAAAATTCTAAATCTTGTTTTCCATTTTTTCTACTTTCCCTGTGGTTGCTTCATTGTTAGCTCCTTGAGTTAAATACACAAATCATCTATTTTTTTGTGTTGTTATTGTGTTTTTTTGGGGGGGATACCAGGGATGAACTCAGGACCTTGTGCTTGCGAGGCAGGCGGCGGCACCACTGAGCTAAATCCCTGACCCTGTTGTTGTTTTTAAAACAGCTTTCCAAACTGGCCTTGAACTCAGGAGCTCAAGACCTCCTGCTTCAGCCTTTCAGGAGCTGGGACTACATACTGTACGAGTTTTGGATCTGTGTATTTCAGGTTATAGCTTCCTAAGAGTGCCTGAGTATATCTGTAGCTTAAGATTTTCATAAGTGTAATGAACGTGGTAAATGTTTATATTACAGTAAAAGACACATGGCTATTAATCCCCCTGGGAGCACTCCCCTCCCTTCAGACACACTCAGCCCAGCATTCTTGCCACTTTTGAAAGCAGTTCTGTAAGTCCTGTTTTATGGGTGTCTTTACAAGGTGTGATCAAAAATACAACGAATGAAAAAAAAATACGGTAAATGCTGCTGCCAAGCTCCGTCTCTTGGAAAGGCAGGCTTGAGAAAACAGGGTGTGTCCTTATCCACTTTATCCGCCACGTCTGGCACCATGCGACTTCTGGCTCTTCCTTAAAGTCCAAATGACCATGGAGAGTAAATGTTGAATTGAGCCGGGACTGCAAGGCAGCCATGGCAGCTCAACTGAAGACCTGAAAGAGGACTCCATAACTGCCTTGGGAAGTGGCAAGAGAAATTTAACAAGTGTGTTTCCAGTGAGGCAGAATGTTTTGAGGGGGATTAATGGTCATGTGATTTTTACTGTATTACATCTTTAAAATGTAGACATTCATCCTAGTCCCCCCCGCCCCACAGGGGATCGAACTCGGGACCTTGCTCTTGCAAAGCAGGCATGGCGCCAATGCGCTAAATCCCTGGCTCTCATCATAGTTTCTGATCACACCCCATAGTACAGTTAGTTATCCCTTGGTATCAGCAGAGGATTATTCCAGGACCCCTGCAGATGTCAACACCCAAGGGTGCCCAGATCCCTTATATGCAACGGTGTAGTGTTTGTGTATAACTTTTTTTTGTTTTGTTTTGTTTTTGAGACAGGGGCTCACTATGTAGTTGAGACTGACCTGGAACTCACTATGTAGCCCAGGCTGGTCTCAAACTCACAGCGATCCTCCTGCCTCAGCCTCCCGAGTGCTGGGATTACAGGTGTGTGCCACCATGCCCGGCTTGTTTGTGTATAACTTACACACATCCTCCTATATACTTTAAATCGTCTCTAGATTATTTGTAACACCCGACATAGGTAAATATGTAAATGGGTGTTCAACTCTATTGTTACGAAATAATGACAAGAAAAAAGTCTTTTCATGTTCAGTAAAAGTATTATTCTGTTTTCTGAATATTTTAATCTGCAAGTGGGTGAATCCATAGATGTGGAACTCTCAGATATGCAGGGCTCACCTTCATGTTGCTA